TCTACACGTGCGTGCGTGGTGCATGCAGTTTGGCCACGGGTGAACCGGCGATGGGGCTGTGTGTCCACGGTTGCCCTTCCCCTGTGCCTCTCGTCAGGAAGGGCAGAGCACCGTCTCGGCAGTACGACGGTGTCATCCATGCCTATGCCCACGGTGGCGGTGGTAGCGTGGTGGCGGCGTCAGGATGTCAACTCTGGATTTTGGATGTGACAACAATGTCTTTTGTTGCCCCATCTACGAGAGCTCTTGCGAAGGTTCTAGGCAAAAGCTCAGCTCAGCCCTAGGCTGGGCTAGTGGCGAGAACGCCATCGGGCGAAGCTTCCTTCTTGAAGGCATCGCACGTCGCTGAAGGACCTTTTGCAGCCTGATCATTCGCGGCCCTCCTCGGCACAAGACTCGGGTGAAAGCCTTGCTAAGCTCCTGCTTGGTTGACGATGATTGCACCCTTGCGTCGTTCACCTCCGTGGAGGCATCGTTGAAGAGTTCTCGTGCCTTGGTGTTGCAATTTATTTTTCTTCTTATTGGTGTGTTGTGGTTGTGCAACCGTCCGTCCTTGTGATGGGGCATTTGTTGTTGTTGTTTTAATTTTGTGGATATGCCACAAGCTTGCCCTTGCGTTGAGGTTGTTTGTAGGGTTTTAGTCCGGTTTTCCAAAATTAACTTGACGAATGGGTTTTGCCTCATTTTTTCCCTAAAAACGAGGCTGTTGATTTATATCAATATATATTCAGGTGGGGATTAACTCTCCTCCTCCCCCGTGATAGTTCAAAAAAAACTATTCTAATACAGAAAAAAGGAATACAGCACAACGGCTAAAGGATGAGGGATTTACATGGAGCTTATGGAGCTAAATTTCTCCATTAGATGGCCAGTTATGAGCCAACTTATCTTGTGACATAACAAGCGGGGGTTTTGCAGGAATGCTAATGTACTGTAGAATTCTCTCTACTGGTATTATCTTGTTCTCCAAAGTGCACATACCCCAGACAACCGATGCTTGAAGCATGTTCAGGTTAAGCCCATATGTCATGGCAAGACCAGCAATACCTGAAAGTTCGTCATGATGTTAGTTACGAATCCATATCAAATCCTATCTAATTTACTATCATCCATCTAGCCAAACTATAAATAATGTTCAGAATTAACATGATATATACCTGGATCAATGATACCGGTTGGTAGACTGATCAAAAATATCAAAGAGAAGGCAAATACCAGAGATGACAACACATCTAGACGAAAGCAAAGCCATTCCTTTGCTCTAGTGTTGTAGAATTTCGGTCGAGAGTAGGCATCTGCTAGATGGCTATTAGTTCACACAAACTGATTTTCCTTGCCGAAACTTCTAATGGTAGTTGACCCTGTTATTGATTCTGCAAAATGTAACTCCTACTAGCCTTCGCAGCTCCCTAGCTGTGTCAATGTAGTACCACTGCAACAAGGCAAGTAATTTTTTTAACGTAACGGTAGGAGCACCGCCCTTCAATTAAGGTAGGAAAAAGAAAGTTAATGTATTGTTAGACTAGAGTGAGCTCAATCTATTCCAGGGGCAACAGCCAAAACATGTACATGGGATGGGCATTATATGCATAGAGGCCCTTATGCTACACAACATATACATCTAGCACCCCCTCAAACTCAGGGTGGATCATAAAACTGAGTTTGGAGATAAAGAACCGATGCTGAGCTCTGGTCTGTGCCTTGGTGAAGAATTCAGCCAACTGAAGCTCTGAAGGCACATAACGAAGAGTAATGACATCATCCTGCACTTGTGCCCGAGTGTAAGATGCATCAACACCGATATGCTTGGTGAGCTCATGCTTCACCGGATCATGAGCTATGCTAATAGCACCAGTACTGTCAGACAAGAGAGGGGTTGACACAGAAATTGAAACACCAAAATCCTCAAGTAACCATCGCAGCCAAGTAACATATGCTGTCGTAAGAGCCATAGCTCGCAACTCAGCCTCTGCACTCGAATGAGAAACCACAGTTTGCTTCTTAGTCTTCCAAGCAAAGAGAGAACCACCAAGAAAAACACAATAGGCAGAAAGAGAGCGATGGTCAGAAGAGTCGCTAGCCCAAGTAGCATCAGAGTAGGCTTGGAGATGAAAGGAACCAGAGCGCGAAAAGAACAAACAACGAGTAATGGTCCCACGCAGGTAAGGCAAGACACGAAGAAGATGACTATAGTGAAGATGAGTGGGAGCGGAAACAAACTGACTAAGAATGTGCACAACATAAGAGATGTCAGGACCAATCACACCCAAATAGACAAGATTCCCCACAATATGGCGATACCAAGTAGGATCAGTGAGGGTTCACCATCAGTGGGGTGAAAATGAAGATTAAGTTCTTAGGGGTCTCAACAGTGAGATGATCAGTGAGAGAGGAGCGATCAAGAAGATTTTGGATGTACTTTTCTTGGGACAGATAAATGCCATCAGAGGTGGAAGAGACGTCAATTCCAAGAAAGTAACGAAGAGAACCAAGATCGGACATGAGGAAGACATGCCTTCACAAAGGCAATATACTCAGAATCATCACTAGTGATGATCATATCATAAACATAAAGTAGAAGAAGAGTGCAGCCTAGAGATGAAGTATGGATAAACAAGGCGGGTCATGATCACTCGGAGAAAAACTAGCAACAGTGATCACAGAGGCAAAACGCTGAGGAGCTTGTTTCAGACCATAAAGACAGTGACAAAGATGACAAACCATGCCATCTGGAACAAGATACCCAGGAGGTGGTCGCATGTAGACCTCCTCATGGAGTTCACCATTAACAAAGGCATTTTTGACATCAAGCTGAGAAATGGACCAAGCACGAACAGAGGCCAAAACAAGGAGAGTATGAATAGTAGTCATATGAGCCACAGGAGCAAAGGTCTCATCATAATCGCAACCATGAACCTGCTGAAAATCATGAGTAACAAGACGAGCCTTATAACGCTCGAAAGAGCCGTCAGAGCGAGTCTTAATCATATAAACCCACTTGCACGTGATGGGACAAGCATGAGAAGGAAGAGGAACAAGATCCCAAGTGCCAGTGCGCTCAAGAGTAGCGATCTCCTTAGCCATGGCATGTTGCCATTCTAGATGACAAATGGCATCATGGTATGTGGTTGGCTCAGAAAGAACCATGCCAGCAAAACCATATCGGTCTGTAGGCTTCAACGACCCAAGATTGTGAAGATCATAACAAGAGGATGGCTGAGAGGAAAAATCCTCAACCGAAGATGTCTCAACAGGAGGTGAAACATCGGGAGACGAATCAATAGGAGGCAAGGGATCCTAGAGGTGGCGACTGTAGGTGTGAATCATAGGAGGCTTAGAATCATAGATGGACCTAAGAGGAGCCTGTGAAAGGTGGCTCCGAGAGCAGCGGTGGAGATGGAGATGATGGAGAAGGTGGAGGTGGAAGAAAAACAGTGGAGATAGGTGTATTAGGAAAGGCCAAGAGAGAAAGAGGCTCAACAACAGCCTGAGGAGAAACATCAGAGGAAGGCCGAGGATAGAATGGACGAGACTCATCAAAAGTAACGTCTCGAGAAATCCACATACAATGAGCAACAGGATTCCAACGATGATATCCCTTGTGTTCAGCACTATAACCCAAGAAAACACACTCAACAGATTGAGGTGTCAGCTTAGTGCGTTCACGAGGAGCAAGAAGGACATAGCATAGACATCCAAAAAGGCGAAGACCGGAGTAATCAGGTGGTTGTCCATAGAGGCGCTCATATGGGATTCCACCTTGAAGAGCAGATGAAGGAAGAATGTTAGTTAATTAAGTGGCATTACAGATTGCATCAGCCCAAAAATTAGGTGGAACAGATGAAGCAATCATAAGATCACGAGCAGTTTCAAGAAGGTGGCGATGCTTGCGCTCAGCAACACCACTTTGAGCATACACACCAGGACAAGAAAATTGACAAAGAGTGCCCTGATTAGAAAGAAATTGGTGAAGAGCGCCTGAAAGATACTCCCCAGCAGAGTCAGCACAAAAACACGAATAGAAGCATCAAATTGAGTATGAATCATATGAGCAAAGGTCTTATATATGGATAACACCTCATTACGATGTTTCACGAAGTACACCCATGTGAAGCGAGAGAAATCGTCGATAAATATGACATAATATTGATGACCTCCTTTCGAGACGAAGGGTGTGAGACCCTATACATCAGAATGAACAAGGTCAAAAGGACATAGTAACACTGACCCACTATAGGAATATGGGAGCTGGATATGTTTGCCAAGCTTACAGCCCTGACACTGATCTAAAGAAACATCACTAGAGACATTCCCCAAAAGATCACGATGGATAAGAGTGGATAACCGGGAACCACATAAACATCCCAATCGATGATGCCACTGAGCAAAAGATGAAGAAGTCGATGCAGGCGAAGCAGAGCCCACAAGACTGGCAGAGGCAGCGGAAGGAAGACGAAGCCAGTCAAGCTCCCAAAGACATTGAGAATCACGGCGGCAAGGGCCAGTACCAACCAGGAGACTCGAGCTGAGATCCTGGACACGACAAGAGTCAGAATTAAGAATAACACGATAACCATGATCGGTGAGCTGGCCAACAGAAATAAGTTGCATGGTCAAATTAGGGACATAAGAAACACTGAGAACATGAAAGGAAGAGGATGAAAGAGTGTCACGACCAACCAGCGAAAAGAGGTGAACCATCAACAGTTTGAATGGTAAGAGGAATAGAAGGAGGGCAAATGGAAGAAAGATGAGTACGATCAGGCGTCATATGAAAAAAAGCACCAGAGTCAAGAATCCATGGCAAGATACCTAAAGTAGATGGTGGTTCCTCAATAGAAGACTGAGAAGTAGCAACAGATAGTGCAAGGGCAGGAGTGACAGAACCAGCAGCTCCATTAGGAACAAAGGTTGCAAGACGACGAAGCCACATGAGTATCTCTTGTGTATCACTATGCTGAGAGCCACTAGTACTATGAGAAACACCAGTAGTCACACTACTAGAAGTCGAGAACCCTGTGAGGGATGCCCACCTTGGCGAGACTGAGTCTGCTGCCTCTTCTTCTTGTAACAGTGAGCCTCAACATGTCCATCTCTGTCACTGTGATCACAATGAAGTCCACCTGAACTATGAGTCCCAGAGCCAGAGGCCACTGAAGAAGCCCCTAGGGAGCAGAACCAAGAATTCTAGAGGATGCAGATCGAGTAGCCAGAACTGAGGAGGAGGTCAACTGAAGCAGACCAACAGAACAAAGATAGGTCTCCTCGTTACGAACAACAGCAAGTACCTCCATCAAGGACACACATGGCTCATGAGCAAGTAATTGAGCACGAAGAGGCTCAAACTCAGCACGAAGATGAGTCAGGAAGTCATAGGTGCGGCTGAGGGGCCTGCTCGTGTCCGCGCATCAGGACCCACATGCCCTGCTCGCATGCGTCCGCACCTGAGGGGCCCGCACGCCCCTCTCGCACGCATCTGCGCGGACCCATGGTCGAGACCGCACGCACACGCGTGCGCCTGCGCGGCTGGAGGGAGAGCACCACGAGAGGCGCGACCTAGGGGTCTGCGTGGCAGCGGCCATTAGGAAGGAGCCACAGCGGCGGCCACCGGAAGAAGCCGCGACGCCAGCGACAAGAAGAAGATGAACCGCGACAGGAAAACGAATCGACGGCGGCGCGCAAGGACGAGACGGCGGTGGCGCGGCAGGGAGAAACCGGCGGGACGAGTCGTCGGCGGGCCGGCGGCCACAGGTAACCCTAGCGTAACCAAGCTCTGGATACCCATGTTAGTGGAGTGAGCTCAATCTATTCCAGGGGGCAACAGCCCAAACATGTACATGGGATGGGCATATATGCATAGGTGCCCTTATTGCTACACAACATATACATCTAACATGTACTCCCTTCGTTCCAAATTATAATTCGTTTGACTTTTTTGACTCCAAGTTTGATCACTCGTCTTATTCAAAAATTTGTGCAAAATATCACTTCTTTGGCTGTGGCTTGCATTATTAACAAAAGTTCTTCAAGAATGACTTAAATTTGACTATGTTTGCACAAATTTTTTGAGTAAGACGAGTGGTCAAACTTGGAGTAAAAAAGTCAAACGAATTATAATTTGGAACGGATTTAGTACAAGGCAAGTAAAATGAGATATGGGGTCATCCTGCAGTTTAACATGGGCGATGATAGGATATATCGGTAAAAAGTACCTGATACCAGACACAGGTAGCAAATACAGGGATGAAAACAACAAAGACCTGCCATGCAACTTGAGACATCACCACAATAATTCCGATAAGTTGAATGATGGAAAATGCAACAAAGCCCATCTGGCCAGCAATGATAGTGTCCACTTCACTTTGATCAGTTGAAGCCTGCAAATTTTGAATATATGAATTAGCATAGTACAAGTAAATGAATTGAACTAACAATATTTTATCCGACGAATGACTTGCCCTATTCAAGATGCGCCCGCTCGGAGTGGAATCGAAGAAAGACATAGGAGCTCTGAATATGGACATATGCATCTTGTTGAGTAACAAAGTCGCTGTTCTGTATGCAGCTGTTGCAAGGAACAGTGATCTTACAAGGATACACAGTGAGCTTCCAAGAGCCAGGATGACATAGACATAGATCAGTGTCGACATGTTCACCGGAGGCTCAACATCCTTTGACACGGGAGCAGCCCAAGCCATCCAGTAATTACTCACAATTTGAAGTATTTGGAAAAGTATCTGTGCTAGCAACACAAATGGTACAAGAGCTCCCTTATAAGCTAGTGTGAGGTACTTCCAATAGACCCAGAACCCTACCCTACCTTTCTCCCTTTCTTCTTCCTGCACCAGCTGCCCACTCTGAGCATTCTGTTCATCATTGTTGGCTTTATCTTTCTTCTCAACTGATGACAGTGATCTGGAAAGCTTCGGCTTTGCTTTGCCACTTGAAGGAGAGGGCACATTGCCTCCATTCATGGAATCAATCGCATCCAATGTTGTCAGAGCATCCTTGTGAGCACCAACTAGCTCCATGAACTCTTTCCCTGAACCTAGTATTTCGTTGTATTTTCCTGCTTGTGCTATTCTCCCATCTTTTATGACCTACATTACAAGCTTTATAAGAAGAGCCATACGAACTTATGGTAACGATAATGCATTAAAACTTTACAAAGAATTTCTCACAAGAATGAGATCAGCAGTAGGTAGGAATTCAATCTGATGAGTAACATAAACCACTGTTTTTGAAGCCAAATCCCCAAGCAAGCATTCCTGCAAAATAAAGTTGTTAGCGATGAAGCTTAATTAGAATAAATCAATAAATCATGTACCTTAAAAAGGTGGGATCCTGTATGGGCATCAACTGCACTGAATGGATCATCGAACAAATAGATGTCGGAATCCTGATAAAGAGCGCGGGCTATCTGAATCCTTTGCTTCTGCCCGCCACTAAGGTTGATGCCTCGCTTGCCGATGACTGTCTGATCACCAAATGGCAAAATCTCCAAGTCTTTCTTCAGCGAGCATGACTCAAGTACTCTGTCATACTTCTCTGTGTCCATCTCCTTGCCGAACAGTATATTCTCCTGAATTTTGCCGCTCTGTATCCATGCTGACTGACTGACATATGCTGTTGTCCCACAAGTCTGGACCTCTCCCGATAACTTTGGAATCTCGCCAAGAATGCAAGACAGCAAGCTCGATTTGCCGGAGCCAACTGTCCCACAAACCGCAACACGCATGCCTGGCCTAGCTTGGAAGTTGAGATCCTTCAGTTTTGGGACGATTTCAGGTGAGGCTTCCCAGGAGAAGCACCCATTGTTGACGTTGATTGCAAAGTCAGAGCTACCACTTGGAAGCCTCTGCACAGCATCACTCGGCAGCTCGTCAAGGCATAGGAATGATGCTATCCTGTCAAGGGACACCTTGATCCGAATCACTATTGAGATAGTGTCAGGAAGGACATATATCGGTTCCTTGAGCACGTGGAACGTGGTCAATGCTGACAGCACCTTCCCTGACTCCAACGGGATCCCCATGAGAATGCAAGCTCCAAAGGTGACCACAGCAACGACGGACGGGGTCCCTCAGAAGACGAAGGTCACCGTGGCCGATGTGTAGAGGTATTTCTTTAGCCAATTCGTCTGTGTCTTCCTCAGCTCAATGATCTTGGAGAGGAATTTCATCTCCCACCCCTGCAGCTTCAGAATCCTCATATTGTGAAGGATCTCAGTCGTCGCCTTCATCCTGACGTCCTTGCTGTCCATGAGCTTCTCCTGGAACTTCTCCTGCATTTTTCCGGGAGGCACGTTGGCAAGCATGATGACCACGGTGGCACCGAGCGCGGCAAGCGAGGCGAGCCCGAGCGTGGAGTACAGGATGAACATTGCCATGCCTACTTGTAACGGCACCAGCCAGAGGTCGTGCATGTACCATGCGAAGATGCCGACGCGGTCGGCGTCGACGCTGATGATGTTAATCATCTCTCCGCTTGTGCGGCTCCGCCTTGACTGGCTGGAAAGCGCGAGGCTCTTCTGGTACACGATGGCGACGAGCGCCGACCGCGCGCGTATCCCCGCTTGCTGCAAGCGGAAGAACCAGTGCCGCTGCGACAGGCACTCGAACGGCCACGATGAAGGCGAGGACAAGGAGCGGCCCCTTGCTCGCGTACCTCTCGTCGCCGTTGAGGTACTGCACCACGGAGTCTATGAGGTACGGGCCGACGTTGTAGACCAGCGCGTAGAACGCGGTCACCGCGACGTGCCACCAGACGGTGCGCAGCAGGGCCTTGGTGAGCTTGAACGCCGTGACGACCTTCCGGCTGGAGCTAGAGCTGGAGCTGTCGCCGTCGCGGCTGAGCGCCTCAAGGTTGGCCTTGAACGACGGGAGCAGGCCAGCAACGCTGTCGCCGGACTCGAGGCCCGGGACGTCCTCCAGGACGAGGGTCTTCCTGTGGCCCACGCTGAGCAGAGGGGACATCCACGAGAAGGTGAGCACGCTAAGAAAGCCGGCGCCAGTGAGCAAGGATGCGCCGTCGGCGCCGGCGATGCTGCTGTTCTCACCGGCCGCCTCGTGCGCGCCGTTCAGCAGAGGCTCCTCGGAAGCATGGCCTTGGCCCCCTCCCGCCCTCCTTCCGAGGAACCCAGCTGAGAGTAGAACCACTGCTGCAACAACAGAGACGGCGTCGAGCACCCACGACCGACCGAGCACGAGGAACCCGTCGAGACTCGACGCCGCGTGAGCGCCGACGGTGGCGACGGAGAGCAGCATGTAGAGCGCCCACCAAAGCCTGAGCTGCGCAGGCAACCGCTCCTGCTGCCGCCGCCGCCCGAAATCGAACTGCAGGTACGCGGCGAGCAGCAACCACGCCACCGCGCGCGCGGCCGCGTCCACCTGTTCCGCGACCGCGTCACGTGACCACCCGGCTCCACCGTCCGCGTACCAGGAGTACGCGGCGAGGAGGACCTCGAACGCCGCCAGGGTCCACGTGGTGCAGGCAGCGACCCATAGCACCGGAACCGGTCAACGCCGCCGAGGCTGGCATCTCCCTCCACCTTCCCGTCCTTGGTGCTTTCAGCGGAGAGGCGGCAAAAGAGCAAGCGCCCCGCGACGGCGAGCGCGAGTATGAGGTGGGCCGCGGCGCTCACGCCGTGGAGGAAGAGCGGTTGCAGGAAGAAAATGAGGGATCCCTCCCCCGCCGGCGTTGCCGCCATCGCTGCCGCGGCGGTCGAGGGCATGGACGTCAGTGGACGGGTGGTCCAGTGAGGCGCATGCGCGGGGCGAGTGAGGAGATCAAAGGGGTCGATCGTCGTGACGGCTACAAAGCCGTTGGCGCCGTGGCGTCAGACGTCGTGACGGCGACGCGGCCATAGGGATCGAAGGGGTCGCGGGTGCTCGGCTCCTTGACGCAGGAGCTACCATACCAAAGCTTACCGCACGCCATGCTGAAATGCTTTGCTTTGTGGCTTCGCTTGGCACCATGCATCCATCATTTTCTCCGCTGACGATTAATCCATTTGCGATCGTTTGATTATTCGGCCACAGTGGTAGAGTGACTCCCATTTCCACCTATCCGACAACGACTGAGGATTAGGGACGGGGAAAAAAATGGCACACTGAGGAAATATTTGTGTTAAGCGCGACCGTAAATGAACAAGATTGGAATAACGGTTGCTTTTATTGATCTCTGAAATGTATTTATACAAGTGAAGGGGACACGACTATTTTCAAAAGACATGCTCTTTTGGATTAAAACTAACTGTCTAATTTTATCCACTAATTCTATGTTTGATGAATGAGATCACCTATGAAGAGACGCCTGTTCGCGTATCAGCGTCGTTTCACGGCAATTTCGTCCGATGACCTTTAAGTCCGCTTCGACTTTTCCCATGAATGCAACAAAAAGGATTAAATAAATGTCTCGCTTTAGGACTAATCATTACATATCTGCACGGTGCACATATCTTCGAATCTTGGACTTAAAGTACACTTTAGAAACATTCTACCAAAATAACAAAAAGTGTTTGGACTATCCACGGCTCCCCGACTATCCGCAGCTTTCATTGCCACCATAATTTTTTATTTATTAGTGCACTTTTTAATCTCTTTTGGTCTTCGCTACTCCACAGCATTATAGTCTTTTATTCGATGAACATAGAAGTCGAACACGGTAGCAATCCAGCACTCGAACCCTAACGTTTGTACTGTTAATTATTTTATTCTAACGGGAACGGTGGTACAATTTCCAGAGTAGACATGAAATATTTGCCATACAGTACAATTGAAACCACAAACTAATAGGAAATTAAAACATAAAGCAGGCTGCCAGTTGAATGTAACCTACAGAACCACACAATGCGGCAACATTTGTGGATAGACTTCAGATAAAGGTTTTGTTTGACAGAGTTGGCGCAAATATCACGAGATTTGATTGGCTACTCAGTTACTGAAGGACACGCATGCTAACTTGATTGTTCAGACAGAAACCCCTGTTTTTGGTAATGAAGGCATTCATCGCATCAGTCTTTGTGCGGAATTTAACCAGCACCATTCTTATGGGCTCTGGGACACCAGCTCTGTTGCAGCAGTATGTATGGAATTAGACAACTACGACTAGGACTAGCAAACAAGAGTGGGCGTCTAAAGTCCTTACCTTATAAAGCTTTCAAATGGAGGTTCAAAGTTCGTGCCACACAAAAAACGCTCTATGTCCTCTGGGAGGGCATTTCGTGGGACTCCTTGCAATAGTACCTGGAAAGACCAATACAACAAACAACAGAATCAAAACTTTATCATTGTTTCCAGACAAATCAATAATTGATATCAAATGCATAGATTTACTAGAATAAGAGATTGGAGATTTGGGAGGATTGTAGTCCTTGGTATATGCACAATCAATAAGCACTAAGCAGAAGAGAGATAACACTATATTTGTTCTACTTAATCTTCTTGCAAGCATAAACAAAAATTGATTACATACATATACTTAACACAAAACTATCACTTACAGTTTTCCCATCAAAGGGCTTTTTGAGATCCCATACTTCACGGCTTATCTGTTTAGAGCAGACAATATATCATTGTTTGGCACTGAACCAACTGAAAAGCTGATAAAAGAAAAAGTCCCGCCTTACCTCATCAATCCTGTACACCCGATTCTGACTTGTTTGCCTATTTGCGGTGGTAAACATTGCCTTTGAAGAAAACCTCAACAAACTAATCAAGTAAAGCATTAAAACAAGTTTCAGGTTGATAATCACATCCAGAAGTGGGCAGAAATAAATAATAATACAGATTTTTTTAATACCAATATCATGTCGACAGCTATTAAAATATTAATGAAAGCATGACATATGTTTACCATAAATACAGTGTTTGATAGTAGTAAACCAAGTACTTGTGTTTGCATAATCTTCCTTAGCATCATACAGAATAATAGCATCAATGAAGAAATAACTATTGTCCCTCGTACAGAACTCATCATGTGCTCAAGGAAAAATATCTTGCACAGATACACAACCTAACTAAATAGGTCATCAGACAGATCAACAAAGGCTAGTCAGGAACAAATTGGACTACTAAGAAAGGGCAATGCTTCATGAACACTATATGAAAATAGGCATGCATCAACCAGACACAAGGTTCATATCTAAGCTACAGCTCTAAAAGGCCAAGGCGTCACTTGTCTTGTGATCAGGTCATGAAGGAATGGAGCCGGTTAGGAGCCCAAGTTCAAGTAAACAAAAATAAAAAAAGGTTATATATAAAAAGCATGCAGAGTATGCAGAGCATACAGAGTACGTCCCTTGTTGTAATCAATCTTCACACAAGGCTATGTATACAGAGCATGCAGAGGGGAAAAAAAAGGTTATATATACAGAGCATGCAGAGGAATCATACGCGGCCAATGGATCATATCTGTTGTTGTAATCAATCTTCACATCATCCAATGACAATCCACATCTGTCAAGGTGATGGATAATGTCAGTTTTCAACATGTTCTTCTCAAGACGATTGCCTCCACCAATGACGCTGTAGAACCTTCCATAGGCCAACCCTGTAGCAGTAGGAAAAATATTATTGTAATATACTTGATCTATGAGGTGAATAGGTACCTTATCAGCCGAAACAGTTATTACAAGCTATGAGTATCAGCAGAACAAAAGGCTAAGAAGCCACAACAAAATCCTCTTGATCTCAACAATCAAGATACAATAACACAAGAGAGAGAAGACCCAATTTAAATGTTACAACATATGTCACAAGCTCGGTAACCTACCCAGTTCACACTTCTTTAATTTAAGCATGACCATTGACCAGTGTTCCCAAAAAACAGTATTAAACGTGTGCCTACACACAATTAAACGCTAATCAGAGCCTCCTGAATCGACTGCACGGCCAAATAAGCATTGGTTGCACCTAGGTGCTTGCATACGCACGCGGCGGCATGTAAGCGGCACAGACACAGGGAAAAGCTGCGGCGAGGCAGTCTTGTGCTAGTGCAGGCGGGCAGGCAGGAGCGAGCGAACGGGCGGAAAAAAGAGCCTGTGCAGGCACAAGCAAGAGCGCAAAACAGATGGCAGGAGCACGGAACAGAGGGCGGGTGCAGACAGGTAGATAAAGACCTGGTGGGTAGGTTATGAGAGAAACAAAAAGCACCATCGCTCCTTGTCTCATCGCCGGCTGCAGAGTCCTCATCACCACCCCTCGTTCATCCTCATGTTGCCACCGGCGTAGCTTCGTCCCAGCCTCCTCCTCCCTCATCCTGCTAGCTCCCGGCTTCCCATCGGCGGTGTATGGATGCGCATATGAGGTGGGGAGCCTCAGGGAGTGCATCATTAGCTGTTCATGCATGCCCTCGTGTGGTAAGTGGTGGATGGAGTGTGACTTTGCAGTGCGGCAGTGCGTGACCTGCAGCACTCAGCTATCCCTGCGAGATACGTTTCTATTATTTTTTCTAGACTAGAACCTGCTTCTGTTTGAAAAAAACTCGGTACTTCTGTGTTGGTTGACATAATTTTCTTCTGAAACTATGTTCTCAAATGTTCTGAACCTGATAAATGTCCCTTGTTTGTGCTGCCTTGTCTGTGCGGGGTCTGGGGAAGGGTGTCAGTGGCAAGCCTTACCCTCGCCTGTGCAATACGAGGAGACCACGACTCGAACCCGGGACCTTCCGGTCACAGGCGGTAAGACTCTACCGCTTGCACCAGACCCACCCTTCATTAGCCTTGAAAATATATCTATTAAATACTCTGTTTGGCCTTCATCTGTGCTGGTACCTCCGGATCTTGCTCCCAGCAGCAAAAACAAATTATATATAAAACAAAAGCACAAACGCTTAATCATGCTTAATCTATGTTTAGGCGCTCTAGGCCCTAGGTCACCAGTGGCCTAGTGCCTTTCGGAACCTTGAGCATGACAATACTCCACAGATATGAAATCAACAGATATACCTATGAACATTTTCCTTTTCCCTGTACACGCATCCCCAATAAGGAAATGACTTCTTCTAAAATTGAATTGTTTTCTTTTGCTTACATGTGATGAAACTTCCAAAGAGGCAATAACAATGACTGACCTTATACTGGTAGCAGTGTTGCTTCACAGTGTTCCACAGACAAACTAGAGCAATATCTCATGCTTTCAAACCTATAATTCACCCTACCAAACGTGGTACTATGTCATGACCTTAGAGATCAAATCCCTCCATCAAATTCACGGATAGCACACCCAACCTACATTTATGATCAAATTTACAGATAGCACATCCAACCTACATTTTATTGCCGGTTACTCTATCCCTTTAAGTTCCTTATTACTCGGTATTCTTAAACGGGAAGATAACATGTATTAAACCCTAAACCCACCCAGAACCAAGCAAACTGACAAGCTATAGAAGAAACACGAATAGGTACAGGTAAAGGAAAAGGTTGAAGCACGAGAATGACCAAGTTACCTTCGCGGGATGCCTTGAGGAAAGAGTCGTCCTGCGACTCTGCGGCCGTGGCGGTGGCTTCGCCGGATGCATCCGCGGAGAAGAGCCGAGCGGACACCGGCGGGGACACGGCCAAGAGAGAGGAAGAGAGATCCGTCGATGTGGTGACGCCGCGGCGGAGGGCGGCGGCCGCGAGCCTCGACATATCTCCGGCGGCGCGGCGGAAGAGGGAGGAATCAGGAATGGCGTCGGCTTCGGGACTCGGGGGAGCACGAACGGGTCGTTGGGTCCCTTCTCTGATTTGCGCAATCATATGGGCTAGCTACTTGTTGGGCCTTATATAAATGGGCTTTGAGGATCATCACTTCAGCAGAGCTAATGGGCTTTATGAGTTGGAAGGCGTAGTTCTAGAATGACGGCGTATTCGTAGCGCATCGCTTCCCCACGAACTCACGAAGGCGAGGTGAGAAGAATCAGTTCCATCTCTCTCCGTCTCTCGTTTGGGAATTGGGAGGACGACGAGGAAGAGGAGGCGCGTGCCGGCGCCCGACCGTCGACTAGCCCGCTACGACGCGGCACCAGGATACGTGCTCCTGAGCTACGAATCCACACACACGGCCAATCCGCTGCGTGCGCCGCGGCCTTAGCATGAGGTGGCCGCTGGCGATCTCGAGTCGCCGCCGCCCCCTCCTGTTCGTCCTTCTCGTCGCCCTCTACACGATTCCTGGTGAGATCTGGCTCGTATCTGTTTGTTTCGGGGTTAAGGAATTTAGTTTGAATGTTTTACCGTCAAGGAGGGTTGACCAAATTATTTTTACCGTATTTTTTTCGATTGAGAGTGATTAGATGGGAACTAGTCATTTTCCAGACATATTATTATGTTTTTCCCAATGTATTTGTGGCCACTGACCAGCGAAAGAATTGGCCGCTGGGTAAGGTCTGAGGTGCAATTATCATAGGGGAAGGACTGAAGGAGATTTAATGATTTTATAGACTCGTGAAATAGAAACTGCTTGTAGCAATAAGTGAATTTTGTCCTGCTAGGTGCCTCGATGATTTATTACTATAGGATCATCAGTGTGAAGATTGAAGGGGGCAAATGCGAGCAAAAGCGTAGTGCTCATTATGAAACATTTCAAAGATGGAACGATAGGATCATCAGTGTGAAGATTGAAGGTGGCAAATGCGAGCAAAAGCGTAGTGCTCATTATGAAACATTTCAAAGATGGAATAGACAATGGGAAAGGTCATGGAACAGTTTGGGGGATCTTTTGGTTGGTGTTGGATCTATCAATCTAGAACAATCCATACTGTGGCCCATTTTTGGGTTCAGCTTCACCCTGAAGGACATAGTTCTCTTGGGGTTCAGAAGTTAGGAAATATACTGTGTTGTTACGTGCACAATTTGTGTTTGTTATGTAACCCAAGAACAATCTTGCTTACATGTCCTGTATTCCTGGAGATTGATTGTTTTAAATTTTTAGAACTCAGGTCCCATGTTGTTGACAGTGTCAAGTGTCAACAAAGATTTATCTCTTAGCCTACCCCAACTTGCTTTTCAAAATTTTTAATGACTTTTCTATCTTCACTTCATCAGGAAACCAAGATTGGTATTTTTGCATTGAAGTAACACAATTGTATACCTATAGTGCCCTACAGACACCAAACTAAGCTAAATGATTCTCATCTGTCTGCATTTTAAGTAGTTTTTCAACTACTATATGGTGTAGTTTCATATTGCTTACCATTAGTTTTGCTTGATTGAAGTTGATTGTTTTAGCAAATTTAAGTAACAGAAACTAAGCCAACTGGTTGTAACTTATTTTATCTTCTATCGGTGTATTTTCATCAAAGATGTCAGTGTTTTATTCTAGTTGATATTTTGAATTCTTCTTAGCTATAATTGCTAGAATGGAATAGATCAATAGATGTGCGAGATCACATTTCACAAGCTACAGTGCAACAGATATACCATGACGAGGCCACGGTGCTCGTTATCAATGCCTTAGTAAGCAAGTGATTAGTTAAAACATAAGGCATAAAGTATAACAATTGAGACCTGTCACATTTCATCCCAGATCAGTAATTAGATTCCTGCGGTGCATGAATTTGTCTGTTATTGCACTACATGAAAAAGAGGAAAGTAGAAACACGATCAGAAAATACAATTTTGGTTGATAATGAGAAGTTGGCAAGGTTTTGTTTAAACCGGCCTGGTCTTTCACTGGCTGCGTGAAAGCAATGACACCATATTTTTATTTTGACCGTTTTTGTGTTCTCATTGGTGATACTTATACTGTTGTACAGGGTTGTAAACTTTAACATATTTGTTATGCGATGGTTTAAAAATGGTCCCTCATTTCTAATACCAGTTATCTTACTACACCGTTCAACAGCAGTCCTCCCTGGGTCCACTAACTCCCGCTGATTTTGCATATGTTATGTGCAGTCCTCTCTGACTTGCCCCTTTTCTGATCTCTCTCTGTATGGCCCACTTATTTTCCCCTCATGGTGGAAATCCACAAATCAATCTGTATGCCAGAAGGTCTGAAGTTCTTTTTCCCATCAGATCTGTTTGCTTGATTAGTTTAAGCTTGTGCTTCGATAGTTTATTTGTTTATTTGAGAGCACACAAGCTGCAGCTGCTGTTTTCTCAATGCAAACACAGGACAGCGATGTAGCTTGCTGTCGCCCGCGCCTACCTTGTGTTCCCAGAGCTTGCCATGTGTGACTTGCTGGTGACGGCTGATGGATTTGGAAGGCACATATTGCGAATGTGGCACATGGCCACGCGACAGGGATAGACTGGCAGTGTGATTTGGGTGCGGCAGTGCCACTGGGGTGTGGATTAGCATTGGAGGTGTGGCAGTGCGATTTCGTGGGTAGTTAGCCAGATTGGGAAGTGCAGGCAGCGTGAATTGTTGCGCTGGTGGGGATTGAGTGCAGCAGGCAGCAAAGGAATGGGGAATGCGAAGCTGATGGTGAGAGAGGAGAGAATAATGGGAAGGCTGAGGTCAGCTGCTAGAAGCCACACCCACATCAGATCCTAGTCCATTGCCACTTGTGCAAAAACAGCTGATATCAAGGGAAAGGTCTTTTGTCGTTTGGTTTTGGGAGGCAGGGACCAAAGATAAACGTGATAGATGATGGACCATTTTTAAACCGATCAAAGAGTTGCGGGGACTAAAATTGGACCATTTCCTTTGTTTATTTCCTTCACTAATTATTTGTGCATCACTGATGAGGTTAATGGTATAGGAACATTTTCATCGAGGCAAGTCACACTCGATACTGTTGAGATATTTACTACTCATGAATGGTTTGGCAAGCCAACAGTGGTTTTCCGGTGCAATGGAGAGAACAAAACAGATTTGCCCGATGTGAAGGAGGCGCACACGCTATATACCTTTAAGGGTGAAGAATCATGGCAGGTAAGCCAAATTGTTGGTGTAGTACTTAAAATTGTTCATCAGTTTGTCACTACTCATTGTTTTGTTAGCATCATACATTGAATTGTGCAATTTTGGCAGCCCTTGACAGAGCTTCCAGAAAAGAAATGCAAGCGATGTGGTTTGTATGAGGAGGACCCATTTAAACCTGATGATGTCTTTGATGAATGGGAGATGTGTTCGAGTGATTTCAAGGGTGGAAAATACACCCGGTTTAAGGGAGGCCAGTTCAATGCAACATTCTTATGTCCAAACTGCACTGCCTCAACTGGTACTGCTGATATCCAATACCTATTCCTTTCTGTTTGTTTAGACATTTTTCCTATGAGCTAGCTGGATTTACCGTTGCTTTTTGATAGTCTAAGGTAATTCTTTGCAGCTTGTTTTAATTTGGTTACGAGTAGTCTAGATTCATGGATAACGCCTTTGCAGCATCTTTGATGATGAAATTTCCCTGTTAAATTGATAGTACTTAATAATGTCAAAGAAATGCCTTGTGTCTTTGTTCTACATTGCCTTTGCTCAAGATGTTTCTTTCATGCCAGGACATGGAAACAGTGAACCTAGCGAAGATTTGGAAACTAAGAAGACATCTGTTGCTGCCATCATAATAGTTAGTGTTCTTGCTTCAGTCCTTGTCATCATTGCCTTGTTTGGGGGCTACAAGTACTGGCAGAAGAAGAAGAGGGAGCGAGACCAGGCACGATTCCTCAAGCTCTTTGAAGAGGGAGATGACCTTGAAGATGAACTGGGCCTTAGCAATGAACTCTAAAATAGTGCGTACAGTCTTACTTCCGATGTTTTGAGATGTAGTTTCCACGATGATGTATAGAATGTGCAATTTTTCACTTAGAAATTTTGTAGTGTAGTTTATAAAGAAATGGTTCCAACAAAACTATGATTCAGTTAAATATCTGTTTCTGGTGACCTCGTAGCTTTTCCAGAGGGAGTGAATCTTGCAACAGTTTGCGGTATCCCCGCCACGTACATATAAGAGTGCAAAAATGAATGAATTCGCGTTTCCCTTTCTCTGTCAGCTTGCCATGCTTATCCAAGTAGCCGCTGGTGACGAGCTCAGCAACAACATTCTCCAATGATGGCGCCACTGGTGGGTCAAGAAGCTCGAAGCCTGGCATGCCATCAGCAGCGTGTCTCTTGAGCATCAGCGCCAGCTTGTTGAGCGCACCGCCATCTCGCTTGACGTGCGGAACTGTATGCTCTTGGAATCCAGCGTACTCGCCCTCCATGTAGAGCCGGTGGCAGTGCCCCACAAAGGCGGCGCCGGCCACCGCTGCCCGCCTGATTGCCGCCTCCTTGGAGACCATCGCAAGCGGGTCCTCTGACAGCACGCCGGTGTCGACGACGTACGTGATCCCGGGGACCAGAACAGCCGTCTCGGCCACGTCCGTCGCCAGCACGACTTTCCTCGATCCACCTGGCGCAGGGTCCAGCGCGTGGTCCATGAACTCTTTCGGGAGGTTGTCGTGGATGAGGCAGAGGACCAGCCCTGGCAGGTCGAGCTGCTCCAGCTTCTCGTAGGCCTCCAGGATGCGGATGATATCCGGCAAGAACACGAGCACGTCGCCGGGCGGCTTCGACCTGTGGATGTCCCTCACCTCCTCGACCACCGCGCTCACCATGTCGAGCATGGGCCCCCGCGAGTAGTGCACCGCGACGGGGTGCACCGCGCGCTGGAACGCGACGATCGGCGCGCCGAAGAAGAAGTCGCTGAGCGAGCTGTCTTCCGGTCCGCCGGCGGTGCAGACGACCACGTTGAGGTGCCCCATTTCCTCCATCGCCACGGCGGCCTTGACTACCCCGAGGAGGAGGTTGGTGCAGAGCGTGCGGTCGTGTGCCTCGTCGACGACGATCGTGCGGAACGCCGCGACGAAGGCCGGCCTCCTGTTGCAGCACAACATGTCGATGAGCACCCGGGTGGTCGTGAACCATACGTCGTCGGACTCCCGCTCCTGTCCGGGTTTCGATGAGGCCACGGTCACCGCGAGGAGCCGAGGCTGCGCGGAGATGACCGGGCCGAAGCCATAGTTGGCGAGGTATCGGGGAGCACCGTGGACTTGCCGGAGTCTGGCGCCGCGGAGACAACGACAATCCTATAGTTTTGGAGATAATAGAGGATTGTACCAATGTGGTAAGAGATCGCCGGTGCCTGGAGCTCGGGTTCCTGCGGAACGCCGGTTGCCATGGCCTGAAAGTTGCAGGAGGCGACGGCACGACGAGCACACGGTCTGCGCGGCACCCAGCAGTTTTATAGAGAGGATTGAGAATCGGAACACGACCGAACGAGATGTGGAGTCGCAGTCAGGCTGTGTTTCCTAGTCGGTGCCGGGCCGAATCCGACATGTAGTCGCATCATGAAATCACAGTCCTTTAGATAAATTTGGCCTGGGCCAGGCGTATACAACACAAGCGGTGGTCTGACATCTGACCCAATAGTTAGCCCAACAGACCGACAGCATGGGGAACGAGGAAAAGGCAAACTAAACATGATTTCAAATTGCTAGTACAATTCTTCGAGTGTCATAAAAAAGATGATCGAGCAAAATATATTATCAAAATGTTAATTGTGGCTTTTATACCAGCTTTTAAGATTTTATTTTCCTGGTGTTACTTCTGTGAAGTGGTTGTTAACTCGCTAACATAAAAGTGACACTAGGGGAAGAAAAAATTTAAAGCGGGTATAGAAGGTAGTGGCATCATTGGCAAGATAGTTGCACAACAAATAAATTCATAATGTTTTCAGATGTAGTCGGATGAAAACAAATTTATATGAAAATTATAGAGATTAATAGGATCAGAAAATTTTGTAGTTGACAACTTTTTCATTTAAGATTGTTTATGAGCCTACATATATACTCCCTCCATCCTGAAATACTGCATTATAACTTCTAAAGTTTGTCCTGAATGTAACACAATCTATGTGGTGCCCATGCTCAGATTGAGCAAAGTTATTAAAAATAAAATCATAATTTAAGGAAAAACTTCTTAATTGGGTTTAATCCATGGGTACATACGTCATTTGAGTGTTTTCTTAAGTTGTCTTAAAATTTTAGGAATGCATTGTATTACAGGATGAAGGGAGCATACTAAGTGAACTTTAAAAATGAAAGTGAAAGGGATGCTCGATAATGGGCTTGAAATTATTTATACCTGTACATCCCTAAACTAACCATCTAAAGTAGTAAACTTTGAATTTTTTTATAGATAAAAAAAGGATTTAGCCTACCAAAGATTTCTAAACCAAAATTATAATGACAATCAATTATAGTACTTTTATGCCCAGTAACCAAACTAGACCAAACTGAAGACTAGCTCAACATATAAGGTTTGCTGATTGCTACTTTTTAGAACATTTTCTTAGCCTTTAGTTGAGCTACCAAACTATTTTAGTTTTGTCTATTAATGCTATTGTGAAGTATTAAATTGTCAAATGAACATGGTATACATATATTTGTCTAAATTAAAGATACTTCACTTTTTAAACAAGGAACTATAGTTGTTATTGGTAGTCAGAGCTTACTCAATACTGACAAGAAATCATCTTGTTATGATTGTCTTTATATGTTTGAGATGTGAAAAATTATTAGCAATATTCACAAAAAATATTCTCTAACATGGGGTATGGTGTTTCATTCAAAAAAATTCAACCTAGACATAACTTATTCTAGGAGAAATAGAAAAAATGACAAACTTTCAGGAGAAACAAAAAAAGGACAAACTTTTGTTAGTGGTAAGGTTACCCAATTTATAAGTAACTCAGCGAATTTTGTATGGGGGGTTAAGCAAAGAAATTAAACAGTTGGAAGTAGTGACTATTCAAAGGACTAAATGAATATGTGGTCATGCTCTTTTGTAATCGAGCACTCACAGTGCTAAATAGATCGACAACTTAAGTTCACTGATTGAGCAACATCCCTTTCACTCTTTATCAGTAACGAGAATAATACTTTTTCACAAGAATATGTCCTTCCAGTTTGCAAAACAAGTTTAATGAATTAGTTTTAACCTGTGACACTAGAGTCTTAACAACTTTTACTTGCATGATACTGGATCTTATCTTTAATCAGCATCACTTGACTATGTTTGCAAAGAAACTAAACTTCCTTGGTTCCTTATTCTATCTAGATCAGTAAGGGGAGTATGGTAGGTATGTCCTAACTGTTCTACCTTTTCAAAATCCTTGCGAAACCATTAGGAATGGAATAGCAGCATAGATCCCATATCCATGGACAAGTAAAATATTTGATCTCAAACAAGATACCCATTGCCAAGTTACAATTTCCTAAGCCATTGCAAGAAAAATCAGCATTCAACAATATTAAACAAAGTACTACAAAAAACCACTAAACTAATAAAAGAAACATACAAATGATAGGGAAGACATCTAACTAAACAAACAGTTATGAAAGAATTGTGCACGTCCAGAGAATATATTGAACTTACATGCTGAAGTACTCTTTGTTGTAGTTGTTTTGCTTCAGTAGGAGTGTAGTTCATAGGCTTCCTCCATGTGACAAAGTATATGTCCCCATCAAGATCACTCTCAGAAGCTTCGTTGGCGTGGGGCCTCTCACCTTTCTTTGGGAAAACCAAGCAATCAACAAGGTGATGCAGTTCATGCACATCAACTGCTTCAAGAACACGGACATCCCCCCGGGATGAAGGCATGGGTTCTTTGCAACCACAATTGTACCTACAATTATCTCTACATTCTTGTTTTGAAAGTGCATTTGCCTTTGTTGTGGGTTTTTGTGGCAGAACCGCCTAATCTAATGCCTCCCAGGAGTACTTGTCTTCCATTAGACACTAAGTTCTCAAGAAAGGACACTAAACTACGCAGTTTCGTCGAGCACACCCCAAGGGAGAACTTAAAAATCCATATTTTTCCATCAGGATCATAAATGAGAGAATAAAGCTTACAACATTCTGAAGTCATTTCTTACATCACTTTATTTTAGTAGTAGAATATTACCTCAATTGATTATAACAGCGGAATCTAACAATGTTATCAGAGTTACAGAGGAAGCAAAGATTAATTTAATGACATGGTGGAGCTTTAACATGGTGGATATTTATATACAAGAGATGCTAACAGATCTTACATCGTTCTTATAAAAACCTTTCGTAAGGGTTATAAATAAACACTACGGTCGTAACGTGAAAGGAATCCTCTCTGAGCCCACCAGGAGGTTTCCACACACAAGAGTCAGCTCTAAGTATCCTCCGATTACCTGCAACAGGGAAATAAAACCCTAAGTACTCGATTGTTGTCGGGTTTATAAACCCGGGGGCCCTCATGGACCGGCTTCCCAGCAAAAAGGCTCGGTGGAGCAGACAACGTTGCGAACGACGCGCAACTCTTGGGCCGGCCCAAACACCTAAACGATAGGCCAGAAGGACGATCCAATCTCCGATCGGAAAGGCCTAGCCGAGGAGGAACGGCACCCGCTTCCGACTCTGGGCCCCCTCTCCGACCGGAGCACTCGCTTCTGGCTTCGGCGCACCTCCGGACGGCCTCTCCAAACGGAAGGCATGTCCCATCACCACTTCTGACTCCGACCTGCGTCTCCGACCGGGGATATGCTAAACCCCTGCTTACACCTCTTCTCTGACTGGCGCAATCAGAGCCGACTGGGACCAACCAACCGGGGACGCCCGCTCGATGAGGACCAGGAAACGGACAGAGAAAGTAAGGCAGAGCACTCAAGTCAACCACAATACCAAGGACCGTACCCTGTACACCTGTAGGATAGT